GTCTGTCACAGTGATTAATTTATTACTGTAGTAGATTATTTGAGTTACGTTAGAAGTGATTATTATTGATTGACTTGTGAGTCTGTTACAGTGGTTAATTAATTACTGTAGTAGATTACTTGAGTTATGTTAGAGTGTATTATTATTGATTGATTTGTAAGTCTGTAACAGTGGTTAATTAATTACTGTAGGAAATGATTTGAGTTATGTTAGAGTAGGTTATTACTGATTGATTTGTGACTCTGTTACAGTGGTTAATTTTCTACAGCAAGTTTGTAAATTCACTTTTGTAAACAGAGAGTTTGTGTTTCAACGAAGAAATGGAGATGCGAGATAGTGCCTTGCGTACGACAGAATTTAAGAAGTAAACGAAATTGTAGGCCTATCAGTGAAAATTGGTGAATGTAATTTGTAGAACTGGCGATCGAAGAAATAAATCATTTTTGTTATCATCAAGTGGACTTTGCATTATTATTATTTTTACCGAATAAACAGAAAGAACCTTGCCAACAACAGAAACCATTACAATGATAAAGACGTCAGCGATCAAAGCTCCAATCGTGTGCGACATTTTCAAAGCAGCTTTTTTTATATATATACTAGGGGCCGACTCAAGCCTCCCTAAACTGTAGCAGACCAATAAGAGGCAACTTCACTGAAAAAAATGTTACAATCTACATATAATTATTGTCCGTTTTTTTTTTAACTCAGCAAAGTTTCCGTTGCGCCATTCTTTCACATTAAAATAATTTTCACAAGTGATAACAGCAAAATCCACATTTTTTACCTGTTTTTATAATTTATTAAAATGAAAAAAAAAATGCTTGTAAGGAGTGCTTAAATGTGAGAGCAATAAAAAAAGCTTTGCGATAGTTTTGTTAGGTTATTGTCGTCTCCAACTCTTTAAGATCAAGATATCGTTGTCGGTGACCTGTGGCGGGTCAGGTACAATAATGATCTCTTCCCCTCTTCTGTAGAGCTGCTGGTTTAAGTTTCACAATATTTAGTTCGATACGGTAAAATGTTAATTTTGTTGATACATGAGGGCCAGGATTTGTATTTCTTCGAATACTCCTTCTGGCCCATCCAGTACACGCTATAACTTAGTTTATAGCATCTGCATATTACGCCCTTAAACGTTTTTTAAACGATTTCCGCAACATATTTCATTGAGTAGCATTTTTGAACATATTTTCATATCTTTCAAGTTTTTTCTCCATAAAATAAATAAATAAATATAAACTTTTTCAACTTTATTCGTCCTCCAACTAACAAATCAAATTTTATTGACGAAAAAAAAAGATAAGACTCATCGAACTCTCTCGGGAAGCAGCCATATATGTGGATATGCAAGCATTTTCAGCTATTATATAATTTATTAAAAGTTATACGTAATTTCAGTGTTCGAATTTGCAATAATGAAAAGAATATATATTTCTCAGCTGACTGTTATATCGCTTGGCCCGCTCCGGTGACCTTTGGAAGCTTATCAGCATTCAGCACTTACAGTTTGCAATAAACCAAAGTTCATTGAGGTAAGACATAAGTAGCCTTTAAAAGCTGAAAGATTCAGAAGATGGTAACAAACAAACAAACATATTTACAAGCAAAAAAAAGTTAAATGTTTAAAAACCGAAAAAACAAAAACAAAAAAACACTGAATATGAATTAACAGTATGTGCGAATATCAATGACCTTATGAAAAAAAAAGGATGATCAGTCTCAATTTTTGAATTAATTTAAAAGAAAAAAGTGGGACATAGTCATTATTTTTGTAATTAGATGACAGATATTGTCTTCTGTTCTACTACAACTGTCATTTTTTCTATAACTCCTGGTGAAAATAATTAAGCTATATAGATAAATCAGAACCACAAATTAAACCAGTAAATAATGTTAACCTGATATATCAGTCTAACTAGAAGTGGGCAACGTTATAATGATTAAAATGTATTGATTCATCAGTTACGTACGTATTTTCATTGTTATCGATATTTCCAGCCTCTAAATATGAGCTTTTAAATATATTATTCACGAAATATACAATAGTATTGTATCCTTCTACCAGTATCAATTGTTCGTATAATACCACACTTATAAATTCGACTCAGCTTAATACACACTATTTACTGAAAAAGGGACAGTATATTATTACAGTAATAGTTTAAGAATAGAGAGAAAAATGATCTTACTGGCAAGAGGATCAGTAGTACAGAATCGAGTCGTTTCTCCTCTTCTGAAGTCTGTCAGCAGAATCACAACTGACAAACTCCAAGGATATTACTTGGTCAATAAACTTATGTCTGTAACATGTACAGTTCACACTATAGCACAGTCAATAAAAACTGAATATTCGACACTTAAGTTGGACACAACAATCAAATGCACTAATGATGAGGCTTAGACCAATATGAATGAATACTTAGTGAAAGATGTGAAAATTCAGCAGTTATAGGTTATTCAAATCGGACCAAAGTAAAGCTAACGATTTTCCATCTTTAATGGACAAAATTTAAATAAAATGATAAAGTTTGGCGGTCTGGAATACCACGTACGTTAGTGGTGTATTATTCAGACTCGACTAAAATAAAACTAATTGATTTAAGTTTTTACTCGTTAAAATATAAATAGAAGAATACAACTTGATCTGGGAAACTGTATAAGTAAGTGGTAGTTTATTGAAATTGGACCAAAGTCAAGCTATTTTTTTAAAATTTCCAATGGACAAGAACTGTTCAAGGAGATCGCATAAGTTAGTGGAGGATTATTCAAAGTGAATGAGACAAAGTCGCCTTTTTTTTCTTATTCATGGTATATAACAGTTTTTGATTTTTTTAGCTTTATAATTTCACGAGTGCAAATTTTTTATTGTATAATAACAATATATTGAAAAGCAATAAAAACTTTTTTTGGTCATGCACTATACCGAATAAAGTATGTTTATGTTGTAACACAATTTTTGAATAAATTATAAGACAAACAAATTGAAAGCAATTTGAGCACTGCCACACAAATTATAATTTTTACTTGACTGTTCATATTATATATTAATATATATATGTATTATCTATATACTGTTTATTTCACAAAATATGGCGTTTTTCATTATTCTTTATAATCTGTATTATATTGTGGAAACAGACTCCATTACAGAACGAATGCTGTTCACGTTCCCGCCACTGCAGCTGTAGGTTATTAACAGTCACAGTCTGTTCGAAAGCGTACTTGCCGCATGCTGGTTGAGTAAGTGTAAACCGGGCGTCAAGAGACTGGGCTATTCTTATTTTAAAGGAATGGGGGGTTGCGAAATAAAATAAACGTTTTAATTGAAGAAAAGCAGTTGTGTCTGTTCACTGTCATTCACCAAGTTGTTGAAATGTCAAAGTTTGTGAGATAGAACTATTTTTAGATAAATTATCAATAAAAATAAGTTGTTTGAAACTCAGATTCATACTATCTATTATTAAACAAACGCCCCCCTTTTGAAGTTGGCGTTTCCGTCTACTAATAGAAGGAACCAAACAACATGATAGAGTAAAACAGCTAGTATTTTTTGACGCATTTAAGTATCCTCTTTAATAAATGGAAGAAAATACGGTTCGCTGGTTGAATCAAAATGATATTTTTGTATAGATTTAAATGTTTTGGTTTTGACAAATTGATTGTTCGTCTAGCATTTCAATTCAGTTATAAAATACGATGATAAAAATGTATGAGAAAAACTATATAATGTTTAGTATAAACACCTGATTTAATATTCGTTATTCTAGTACTAGCATTGAATATATTGATGGCTGTAGTAGAATGGTAATTATATTGTTCATTGTATTGTGGACATAGTACAGTACATACGTTGATAAGGCAAGATATGCAAGTTTTATAGGATTTGATGTTAAGTCTCACTCGCTACTAATAACCAATAGTTTAGGCCTTAACGTCATTCATAGATTATTTCTTTTCTTCACTAAAATTACATATTTTGGTCAAGAAAGGAAAAAATCAAAGATGTTTACGTTTTATTACTGAACTAAAATCAAGTCATTTAATTGTCTACTGAAATTAATTTTCAGGTGGTTGAATACACATATGATATTAATTAAATAAAGTATTCAAAATTCAGAGAGAGATCCTAAACGTTTTCGCGCGTCTTTGTGTCGCGTATGGTACTAAAACAGCATTACTATTATATCTGAGTAAGTTCTGTGCCGTACCTAGCTGTTGTAGAATAGTTTATTCTATTCATAAAACATTTGTAAATATTTTTTCTTTTATGCTTCTCAGACTGTGAGCGGAGTTATTTTCATCTAATTCACAAAAAAATATAACATTTAATACAATAAATGATATGAAGACAAGGCAATAAGATGAGTTACAGTTTCATCACACTTTTGCGTGGGATACTATCCTTTTTCCCAGTCTACGCTGCGCATTCGGCGCCATGTTGCCTTGCAAAAGCAGTTTCCGCGGCGAGATAAGAGAATATAGTTTTGATGGGACTCGAGTCGCGTTGTTGCCCTTAATCACATAAGATACGATAAAAATATAATTTCTGGGGTTAAAAATGTTAAAAAAACAACTATATTATAAGTTCTTATGCTTGTTTATAATTTTCATATTTTAAGTAACATGAGTACCAAAACAAAAAAAGCAGAAGATAATATGCTACTATTGCAAATGCAACAAATACGTCTACATGTGCTTTCTTACATTGTTGTTTATGTTTTAATTATAAGACTTCATACAATAGTTTCATAGTGAGAGGATTTTTTTAACGTATATTATTTTTGAAGAACTGATACTTCGTATTTTCTAGAATCTGCACACTGCAGCTAAAAGATATCCCTCTGGGGAAAAGTAAACTGGGGGGGGGGGGTACTACTGCGAACAGAATCGCATATGCGTACTTGGGTTCTGTTGATAATAGGGCGTCGGCTGCGGGAACTGTAAGCTTTATGATTGGTTCATATGGTGGACAGATTGCCCCTGTTAGAAGTACTGTAAACCCCTCTACTCAACCTGTGTAGGAAAACTACGAAGCGGTTGGCGTCTTGTCTTTGTTTCAGGGTAGCGCTAGGAAAGAGAGCGGTGGCTAAAACTGTCTTGTCAGCCTATTTGGCGTAATAACGCATAGTACATAGGTAAGAGAAATAACCTTGATATATGCTGTCAAAAATTATTTACTTTGCTGCAATATTTATTTAAATTCTTACTAAAAGTTGTAATAATTTTACGAGAGTAAGTTAAGTGTAAGTTTTACAGACGCTAAGCTTATGCGACGATTATGGTTTTTTGGGTATTCGTCTTGACGGCCAATATGGCTGTTGGAAGGAAGACGACGAACGCCGGTTAACGTTAGAACGCAAGTAATGCTGTGGCAGCTATTTTTATGCCGCCATCTTTAACGGTAGCTCTGACTCGAGGTGTAAACTTGCTTCGATCGATCGTAAAACAATTTTAAATTAATATTAACATTAAATTTTGGTTTTGCTTCAGAATAATACTTATATGATAAGTATTTTTTTATTTATTTTGAGAAGACTGAACTTAAGGAATTTTTATTTAATATTCGTAATTTGTTCTATTATTTGACGTTAATGTAAAGTTAAATGAATTAGTTAAGCCAGAAAATCTAACGTTGAAGTAAACTTAAAGTACAATTTTGTAAGATATTTATATTCTTCAGACTTTAACGCTGATAGAACCTGTCAACTATAAGTATAACTTGGCTCTGATTAATATTCAAAGCAGTTTTATATTTATAACTATTAACTGAATTCAGAAAAATTGAATATGTAATTTTGAAACTGGGCGTGAATTTCAGTGTTACTGTTGATAAAGGTGTTGCATTCAAATTGTTTAATGAATGTTGGCTATTAGTATTAATTCTTACTCTAGGATAGTACTGTTATTATTACCGTATTTTTCGGAATATAAGACGCACCCTTATTTTAAAGACAGTTTTTTTGGGGGGAAGGGAAAGCTACAGTCGCATTTGAAAGATTTTCATTGAACAAAAATTCAATTTGATACTTTAAAAATTAGTATATATTGTTCTAAACACAAGAGCTCAAAATAAGAAAATACCGTAAATCAAAACAAGGTCTGTTATTTAATTTGGTTCAAAACTTACAAAATCTTCATTGCTTTCACTATAATATATTTTTAACTTATTTAGGAGGCATTATAAATAGTTATGTTTTTAAAAGAAAAAAAAACTACTATTGTTATAAATAACACATTCAATTGAACTAAACTATGCATGCCTATTTAAATATATTTACACATGGCATGTGTATATCGTATATATATATTATTCATACCTTCGGTGTATAGGACGCAAGCAGATTTTGACAAAAAAAAGTGCGTATTATACACCGAAAAATACTGTATTTAAATTATCACTAGTACGGTTCGTTTTGTTTCTTGGTAAAATTAATGTTCTACCTTTTTGAAATTGCATTATCTGTATAAAGATAATTTCTCTTCCTTATCTTTATCTGATAGTTTTGAAATGTTTTGCTGTCCTTAAAATACAGTGGTTTTTTTTCCTTCTTTTGTACAGTTCGATTTTTCCACGAAGATAGTCAAAATGGGAACACAACAGTTTTGTTTGAAGTGGAACAACCACCACTCCAATATGCTGTCAGTATTTGAACAGTTGCTGTCAAATGAGGCTCTAGTTGATGTGACTTTGGCCTGTGAAGGTGTCAGTATAAAGGCTCACAAAGTGGTTTTATCCGCGTGTAGTCCTTTCTTCCAGACTCTCTTTGTAGATAATCCTTGCAAACATCCCATTGTCATTATGAAAGACATGAGGTACGTTGACTTGAAGGCTATCATAGACTTCATATATCACGGTGAGGTAAATGTTTCTCAAGACCAGCTGTCTGCGTTACTAAAGACTGCAGAAACGTTGAAAGTGAAGGGACTTGCTGAAGTGGGTGGCGAGAAACAAGGAGATAAGGGTGGGTCGCAGGAGGTCGTTCAACAGCCTATAAACAATACGTCGTCACTGCCATCGAGTAATCAACATCGAGCTGAAACGCCGCCAATTCATAAAAGAAAAAGGGGAAGGCCAAGGCGGCGATCGGGTTCGAGTCACAACAGCGACGTAGAAGACCAGGTGCCATCCAAGATAAAGCAACCCGATTCTCCCGAAATTATTAGTGATATCAGTAGGGACGGTGTTGGGGACGTACCGCAGGAAGTCAGTCAGAGGTTATCTGTGACCCAATCCCGTGTTCCTCCCATCTCGTCAAGCCAAAGTGTTCACTCATCACACAAGTCATCCCATTCTATGTATTCTTCAGTTCCTTCTCAGCAGGATTCGGGTGCTACAATCGAGGAGCCAGCTGTCAGCGATGCAAACTTTGACTTGGAGCCTTCCAGACTAATGGAGCAGTCCATGACAGCAGGCAGTAGTGTAAGTATATAACAAGTCTTCTTGTTGTACTTCTGACTTGATATAAAATGTTACCACTAGCGTTTCCGGAAGCTAACAGTGCTGAATGTTTTTTTTCTGTCCGCCAGGTTTCTATGTACGAACCTCCAGCATTACCGTCGTCATCACCAGCATTAGCTCTTCCATCGTCATCAGCAGTAAGAGAAGCACAGTCATCCAATTCTTTAGTTAGTAGTCAAGCGATCATTCCCACCTCATTACATTCTGCCTCAGACTCATCTGCCTCAGGACTCGGAACTCAGGACACACTAGAAGGTGAGGATCTTCCCTTTTTTTATTTGGGGGGGGGGGTTATCATAATCAATGGAGTAGGATGTTTTTTTGTTTTTTTTTTGGTCCTGTTATATCAGTTTTATACTGTTATCCCGCAGATATCAAGCCTTTTGTATCATTCGAAGAGCCTCCAGTCACAGCGTCCGTCCAATCCCATGACAACAGTAATGCTATGATTCCGTATATGGACACATCGGGTGTTGCAGCGATACCAGGACCCAGCAGTTACCAGCCCGATATGAGTTTAACGCAGTCTCAAGTGTCCCAGCAGCCTTCTCAAGGTAGGTTCGGGTTTCAAACCTCGGATTCCTTGGATCCAAACTGGACGAAAGGCTCCCGCATTAAACCAAGTAAATACTGTAATATAAAGCTAACGTTCTAAAGGGGGGGGGGCAAGTGTTTCTACTTTTTATTGTTCCAAGTTTTGGTCAATGTACCCGGAAAGGACGATAATCTGAATCTTTATTTGTGGCTATCCGTATATGTTTTGTAGGGAATTATGGGAAGTTAATACATGCATCTTGAGGTGAAGTTATTTAACAAAAATATTTAAATATTGTCAGTTCTCCTTTCCTCCAGTTTGGTGTTTCTAACTAAAATAGTAATTTCTGTTTATAAAATCCTTCCTGTTGACGTAGACTAAAGGGGAGGATACTTGTGGATGTTGATGATGGCTGTTAACTGTTTCTGTCAGCGAGGAAGGCAGAGGAGCTCTTGTTTTTTTATCTCATAATTTGATACAGTTGCCCTGCACAGAAGCTAACCATATTGTCCAAAATTAAGCCCAAAGGCAAGAAGTGTTTAGAGAGCATGTTTTGGGTAGCTTCTGGACATGTTAACCTTTTAGTATTAGCTAGAGTCCAGAAAGGTAAGTGTTAGATATTTTAGGCAAGACATCAGCTCCTCTGGAAAACTGTTTAAAAAAAAGGAAGTTTTTCTCTTACTGGGCTGAAGGGTTCGAACCTGGGATGGGAAAAGATAAAAGCTTCTGGTGTTAGTTTTTAAGTTTTGTTAACACGGTGAAAGAAGTGAATTAACATCTGTAAAGTTTAACATCAATGAAATTTCTGTGATAATCTTAAAGATTAAAGTTCACTTCTTTCATTTGCGACAGGTTTTTTTTTTTAAATATGGACTGGAATTTAAACACGGTGTTTCAGGTTTTTGATGTTGTTAACTGGTTTGATTTATACACTTTCCAGTTGTAAAAAATATACCCATTTGTTGTTAAAGTATTTTATAAGTAGTGTTTGTAATTTCCCAGTGAATAAAATAATTCTGATTTGTGTGTGAATTTTTTGAGATCTACCAAAAAGCTGCGAAGGTACTTAGTCGCGCGCAATGAAGACATTCATTTTTGGACTAAGTTTGAAGGATGAAAGAAGGAAAAAAAAAGGAGAATATTTTGTTGTGTTATGGTAAATCTGCCATTTTATGGTAAGTATGTGGGTAGGTATGGAGTAAAGTATAGTTAGGACCTGCTATAGTTTATTTGTGATATTAATGAGAACATGATGGAATGGTAAAGGTGGGTATAAAAACTGATGTTGACTTGGAGAACTGGCCCTGAAAATGGTGAGTATTTTATCTTCCTGGCCTAACCAGGAATTTCCTGGGCAACTTTCAGAATAGCCTATGGCTAGGGTAAGGTAATAAAAAGGTAAGTGTGAAAGTTGCCCAGGATTTTTATTTACCTAGACACGTGCCAGGCTTTTCCTCTAATCCCCCTCCCCTCCCTGCCGGATTGAACATGGTACGTATTTATAGGTAGTTTAAAACTGGTTTAATCTTTTAGTATCTTGTAGTTCAGCTCTGTCATTTTTAAAGAGATCCTGGCATAACCAGGAAGTTGTGTGGTAGTCCAGATTAGCCTAAAGGCTAGAGAGGGTATAAGGTAATGTGGTAAGTAGGGATTATCACACAACTATTTAACAGTCCCAGGTAAGTCTTGACTTTGTTATATATGCTCTGTTGGATTGCCTTTAAAAAAAAAAAGGTAGGTGTTTTAATTAAGATTTGGAAGGTCCTCTATGCTCTAGTCTTGCTCACTAGCCTTAGCTAAAGAGTGGACGAAGAATAGCTTCTCCGGCTATGCTATGGTCAAGGTAATAGGTATGTTTCTGGCATTGAGGATTTTCCAAAACTTTTATCTTAACATTTACATTTATTTTGCATAGATTTATTAATTTCATTTAGTATATGCTGTTGGAATTTTTAGCTAAGAACACGCTTAAGCTGATATACACTAAAGGAATTGCCAGTTTTAATTAAAATATTTTATATACATTTTAAAAACAATTTATCTTTCATGTGTCACTTTATATACAAACTTAAGAAAATACTAAGCAGTTAATGGACGTATTAAATCGTAGAATACAAAAGACACTTTAATTGGGTTCTAAAAGAAATTGCGAAATATGTAATCATTATATCCCCCCCCCCAAAAAAAAATTACATGTTTGTAATATCTAACTAAAAGATCGTTTCCATGTTTGAGAGAGGTGCGAACAAGTGCTACAAATGTGTGTGTGTGTGTGTGTGTATATAAGAACAAATTTGGAGAAGAGGAAATTTAATGGGAATAATTTGGCCAAGATTTTATTTGAAGTAGAAATTAATCAATAGACTTAACTCTCCCCACCAATATATTTGATATGTAATACTTTTTCAACAATTCACAAGCTGAAAAACAATATAGCTTTCCCGAAGATTGAAAAATAGGGAGGATTGGACGGCTGTAAGGGGCGGAAGGAGGCCGTTAAATTACATATAATTAAATGTGTGTGTGTAAAACACACGCGGGAAGGTTGTAATGTTTTGACGGCTACAGTGCAATAATAATTTTTAGTTGCAGAATAAACATAAACATGGCGGAGCATGAATATCAAATCACCAAGAAGACTGCATTCGAATGAAGCGTCGAACATTTAAAATGACATGTTCCATAAAAAGAAAAATACAAAATTTTTGCAAGAGAAGTGGATAACCTGAGAAGAAAGATTACAAAGTTCAATTGGATTGCAAAAAAAATCAACTGTGAATGATGGCAAAATATACAGACTACAGCAAATTGCAGGATGTATTTAAACATGGGTATTAGCTTACGTATTTCGTGGTGTGTTAAAAAAAGCAAGTTTAATTTATTAAATATATTCAAAAATGTAAATAAAATGGCAATTTTACTTAAGTAAGGTGCAATAGATGAATTTTATAGTTCTTTGGCCTTGAATCAATTTTCAAAATTAGTTAGAAATGTAGCTGACTCTGAAATATAAATAATGTATTACATACGAAGTTTTACCAAATAACGTTAACTTCGAGCATCATTAGTCTCAAAGTGGGTTCCTCTTCATCGAATATGTTGGGAGAAATTTAGCAAATCAAATTATTGACTTGCAGAAAAGCATATCTATTACTAATGAGATGATTTTAAAATACTACACAACTCTGATATCTTGAGGGTAGGACACTAGCTTTTAATTTAATGACGTAGAACTAAAACAGTGAAGAATGTAATTTGCCAATCAAACAGGATAGAAAACTAGTAAAACTTCCAAATTATCTCGGTAGCTAAAACTTATGCGCTTATGTTATGCTTTAGAATAATGTTAGTTCCAAGGTCTTCAGGATTTTGCAGCTGGATCAATATAAAGACCTCGATGATGAAGTCCTTTGTTCATAGAACACTTGTGAGAGAAAATGAAGTGGTAAAATTAAAGTTTTGGAAGTAGTGAAAGAAACTGATAACAAAATTGGATGTTGATGGTGGGGGCGGTTGCACACGTCTGAGGAAAACAATTATGCTGGAAAAGTAATAGAAGTTGCAGTGGAAGGATGCCGAGTGTTGGACAATTGAGGAAAGTCTACAAGGAAAGTTTTCAAATGTTTTTGTTTTGTGTACCGAAAAGAGAATAAAATGTACACTCGCTAGATTTTTGGATTCTTTCGTTGAGTTAAATTGTTCATGTTGATATAACTATCGGGCGTTGTATGTATTGGAGGGGATAGTCAACTTTACATTTTGGATGGGGAGGATAGTTTAAAATTGACATGCTTTAGATTTAAACGGTAACATTATTCATTGCATGATGGATGTGAACACTACAAGAAAGGGATATTGAGAGTAGATACATTTTTCAGTAATATGCTGGTATTAATTCAGTGTCAAGTGTTGCTGCACTCTTCAACAGTTTGAAATGGGGGGGGTATATATTTAACCTTGGCAGGTTTGTCAAACATTGTTTATACATACGTTTTTTTTTTCAAACGATAGTCATGAGTGATCTGTTTTCACCGTAATTGTTTACCCACTTGGTGGTGAGATTGGAAAGTAGGTAGACTAGCTTATCGTGAAGTATGGGGAATAGTTCGAACCTACAATTTAAAAATGTGTACAGTTCAAGTCTAATATTCAACACTATAAAAGAGTAATAAATAATGAACTTTGTTTTACGTTGGTCGTATATAATTTCATTCTTTTTTACACATTTTTGGCTCATTGTTACGAAATTTATCGTTGGTAGCACATATTTGATTAAAAAATCAGCTTTATTATTGTACCTCAATGTAATAGTGATTTGTACAATATTGTGAAGCTTTGATGTTTCTAGGCAGAATCGTATAGGGAAAAAATAACACTGGCGTACTTTAATGGTTGAATTACATTCAAATTCACGCTTTTTAATTATCTAAATTATAACTTTCCATTTAAATCTGAATGAAATTACCCTATAGGGTTAAGAATTTAAAAGAACAAACTAAAATATACTAATATAGTTTATATAATTTCGGTGCTAGCTTGAATTTTTCATAACCTCTGAATAGTGGGTGACCCAAAGGGTCACTGGTGGTATAGTAAGATCTAAAGAGACAGTTTCTAATGTGGTGAGAGTTTAAATAACTACAACGATATAATGGTATAATATTTTCCACTATGTTTGTTTTATCTCTAGGGGACCGATGAGCCTCGGTATTTGGTGGATATTATGTTTTCAAGTACACCTAGAATTACTATTATAGTTTTATTTTGTTAACACTGGTTGTTCGACTCTGGGAACAAATTGGTTAATGTTTTATTTCTTCAGTTCTGAACGATAGTAAAGTTAATTCAAATAAAGTAAAAACTGTAGTTTATGAATGGAGAACACATCAGTACCGTAAGATATCTTTGTCATATCTGAAAAAGAAATGTTTTAGGTGCAGGGTATTGATGACTGAACAAAAATATGGCCTAATATTCCATACAGGGTCAACCGTATCCTAGAGGGCGCGATGAGCCTGG